ACTAGAACTAAATGAAAATATGACACTAAATAGGACGTGGTGGAGAAAAAAGATTCATGTAGCCGACCCCACGCAGTGGGATTAAGGCTTTGTTCTTGTTGTTGTTGTTGTTGTTGCTATCATAGTAGTAAAATGACCAAGGCCAAAGAAGCTGCAACACCCTCACTGTGGGATAAGGAAACATAAATAATCTTTTGTGACATTTACCTCATTGAAATTGATCTGAGAAATAGGCCCGCGACATATTTCAACAAGGAAGAGTGGAAGAACATAATTAAGAAATTCAAGGAGAGTACAGGTCGAGAGTATGACAAGATGCAGTCGAAGAACAAATGAGATCAACTCAATAAGAATTGGAAATTATGGAAGGAACTCAAACGCGGATCAAGGGGCTTGGGGTGGGATCCGGTGAAGCGAACCATTAATGCTTCGGAGAAGTGGTGGGCAGAAAGACTTGCGGTGAGACTTTTTTCACGTGCTCTAATTTGTTCATTTTTATTTATGTACTCGTTGAATTGTATGATATATTTTTTGTGGGTGGGTGGTGCCAGCTGCGAATAAGTTTAAGCTTTGTGGCCTTGACCCTGATTTGGAGGAGAAGTTGGACAAGATGTTCAGGGGCGTCGTCGCTACAAGAAGAGAAGCTGGACAAGATGTTCAGGGGCGTCGTCGCTACAAGAAAATGTGCATGTGTGTCCAATCAGACAGCTTATGTTGCCACCCATGAGAGCTTGACGGTCGATCTGTCGAGTTACTCGACCGAACTCCCCAGCACAGAAGTCGAGTCCACTTTTCGTACCAAGCAAGCCTGACTGTAGAGTAAAAGAAAAACGGAGCAACTTACCTCAGAACCTATATATCATAACTAGTAGCTTCCTCTATCTCTGACACGTGTCCAGTACCGGCTACTTCCATTCAGCAGATCGTGCAAATTCTGGATGCGGATAAGAAAATTGCTGAGGATTGGCCATTGTACTTATTTGCACTCGAATTATTTGAAAATCCCACCCGCAGAGATTTTTGTGTTGCAATTCTAAAAGAAAAGAGGGTGGCGTATCTACAACGATTTTATGAGCGAGACATTTGAGACCATTTTTTTTATTTGTTCTATTTGTTGTTGTTTGAGACACTTGTATTTGCTGTTTGGGACACTTGTATTTCTTTGTTTCATTGTATTGTTAATTGGTTATTTCACCTGCTTGGGACTTTGCTCAATAATATTGATATTGGTTGATTATTCATAAATCATCACCGCTCATATATCACTACGGCTTGAGACATGATTTGTTCAAAACTTACTGATCTTGTTTGGTCTCAACTACTACATGGATTCAGACGAAGATAAGTAGAGAAGGAAAAATGCAGCAATCTATTTGATCAACAAATATTAAAAGACATATGTCCATCGCTCTCCATGTTTGACATCATCATTTATTGGGGACAAATGGGTTGGGGAATTGCTTGTCGGACACCCAATTAGATTCGGCAACATTTTTCGGATGACCAGGGACACTGCGAATCTTCTGGCAGAATTTAGCGGACGTCACGGAATTCATGGGTCGTCGAGGACGACTACACGCGAGATATTACCAATCACCCTGTACATATTAGCGCAGAACGAGTCAATACAAGGTGCAATAGAACGATTCCAACACACCTCTGAGATGATTATTAGATATTTTTCAATCGGTTTGAATGCATTTGCCAACCTTTCTGTGCAAGTTATCAAACCAATAGATCCTAACTTCAAACGGACGCCTTCGGAGATTCTACACAATGCACGCTAAATGTCGTTCTTCAAGGTAACTTCTCAAATTTAAGGCATTCAAATTTAAATATGAATGTCTTATATTTTGAACTCGTTTTGATTTGTGTATAATTGCATCGGAGCAATTGATGGAACCAACGTTGATGCACGTGTTCCAAATAGCAAAAAGGTTGCATTTATCAGACACTGCGGGCAGAACGTAATAGTCATTTGTGACTTTAACATGTGTTTTACTTTCGTAATTTCTGGTTGGGAGGATAGTACGCATGACAGCTTAATTTTCAGGGCAAAATACCGAATACAACTTCTCACACCCTCCTCCAGGTATGCTTCAGTCTCAAATACTCTGGTTATTAACTTTATGCTTGATACTATATGTGCAAAACATCTCAGGCAAATATTATTTGGTGGATGTTGGCTATCTGCTGCAGCGAGGGTATCTCAAACCCTTTCCGGTACGAGATATCATATATATGATTTTGAGCGTGTCAGCAACGTTACAAGTGGCAGAAAGGAAATGTTTAATAAGTAGCATTCTTCCTTACGATGTGTCATCAAGAAGAGTTTTGGTGTTTGAGAGAAGAAATGGGTTATACTCCGCGACGTGTCATCTTACCCGTTTACCAAACAAGTCCAGATTGTTACTGTACGTTGGTTCTACATAATTATATTCAGCGGCATCCTTCCCGCAACGACACTAACTTTCGTAGAGCCAACGAGGATCGGGAGCATGTACCCCTGGAAGCATATGAGTACCGCCTCGGGCATTCACTGCCACGAGCGGAGAATGATGCATCCACTATCTTTTCTAAAGTGGGAGAAGGTGCAAGCGAAATGGCTAAGCTGAGGGAACATATTACTGATGCGTAAGCAGAAGGGTGATTGGATTTATTTTTGTAAATTATTCAGCGCTATGTGTAATTAATTTCCTTTGAAAAATATTTATATCATTAATGTTTGGTATTGAGCATTCGGATCTATATGTATTTTATTCAGAGTCACCTGTATTTTACCTTTTATAATATTGGTTTAAAAAATTTACGTTATTTCAAAATTTATTTTTCAATTAATTCTTTTAGCAAACTCAATTCATGTCATCACTAATGATTTGTATTTTGTAGGAATCAAAAAAGATAAGCTCAAGAGTTTCAGGGATATCACGACGACTGCTCTACCACTGCGGACTACAAACTACCTTATTGACGTCATGGTAGACTCACAGTTACGGGAGACAAAAGATAAGCTCAAGAGTTTCAGGGATATCACAACGACTGCTCTACCACTGCGGACTACAAACTACCCTATTGACGTCATGGTAGACTCACAGTTACGGGAGACAGTTCTACATGTGCCCTAAGTGAAAAATGTGACTTCTTCCGGGGGGCGGACAGTCCATCAGACTCTGCTGCAGGCGGTGATCCAGATTGGACAGTGCCATTGGAGGACGTTGTGGCGAGGGACATACACAGCCTGTATGCTAAAAATAATTTAATCATTTTATTAAATGTAATTTTAATATTTCTTGACTTTTTCTTGCACTTTTTGTGCTCACTGTTAAGTGAATTATGTATCAGAATTTTTGTATTGTTTTGAACTGAATTTTTGTTTTTGAAGTATCAAATATGTGGGTGGCACAGTTCTATTACAAACGAATTTACTAAACATAGTCCAGAAACAACTATCCCACAGCTATTTTCACATAACTGCAACACACAGACAGTCAGCTACAGCTTCCTAGAGCAATGCAGCTGCAGCTAAAAAGCTAAAAAGCTGCAGCTGCCTAGAGCAGTGCAGCTGCAGCTAAAAAGCTAAAAAGCTGCAGCTGCCGCACGAACACGTTCAATTCAAAGTTTAAATTGTTGAAGGATTTTGAGTGACACAACCTTTAGTGGCAATGAATACCACTTTGGACATGATTTGAATATAAATGACCAAATGATTTGTGAAATGCAACCATAACTGATTCTTTAAGAGCAACGGAAGTAGGAAAGTGTGAAGGGCCAATGTTTGCCAACACATGAACCAAAATATTCATCTAGCTGTTTCAAAAATATTAATGATACTAAAAAGTATGGAAATATCAAAGAAATTCTATCAATTAGCAAAGCCAAGCTTCATGACTAGAGGTAAGAAAATGTCTTATGTCCTCACAAACTAAATGAGGCCATGAATCCAATATCATAACCATGTAAAAATAATAATAAGCTGCACATGGGAGAGACATAAATCCACTTTAAAAATTCAATCATGAGAAAGTTGGATTTCAAAATTTGCATCTATGTTATAATTGATAATTAGATAAGACGCTCGTCGTGACAACACACCTCAAAGAAAAAGGTGAAACCATCATTTCAAGTATTTAGACTCATAGAATATTGAAATTAATGTTTTAAGATAAATTAATTTTTCATCATTCAAATACTTTAATAAAATAAATATCCAAATAGACAAAGCATTGTGGCTGTTGACATTCTCATATCACATGAGGAAAATGGAAAAAAAAAAATAATATAAATTAATGTACCATAAATCAAGTCACAATAAAAAAAACAACTCCCCCGTCTGAAACTTTTCAAATGTAAAAACAAAGAGAGAGTTATTGTGCTATGTACCATTAAAAAAAGGTTGCATTTATCAAATCTAACTAATCAATATCCATACACATAAACGCTACATAAAAAAGATAGAAAATTTTCTATTTTTTAAATTTTTTTAAATAAAATTGAAATTTTGGTATGAATTTTTAAATATATTTTATATTTAACTTTTTTATTTTGATACATATTTTTTAACCATATTAATTTTTCTTATAATAAAATTTTGGCCAAGTAAAACATTATCAAATAGAATCATAGATCAACCTTACTGATCAATCTACTCTTAATCAACAATGACTATTAATCAAATTCATTCTAATATTTTATAAAGACTAGAGAAATCTAAATACAAAAATAACCATTATATTTGTCAAATAAATGTAATTTTACCTAAGCAAGTTAACTAAAGATAACGCCAACAAATATAGATCATAAACTATAATAACACAGATGTCTTCTTAATGGAGTCAATCAAGAAACTTTTTTACTGACTTGCTCAACAAACTAAATAATCCATGTAAAACTTAATTTTTATCAGTTTTAACGCCTGGAGTTTCTTTCTTTCCATGAAGTAATTAACTGAGTGTAGCAAATAGCAATAAATGCTGTGTATAGATAGTGAGGAAATGGATAACCTCTTTCCGATGTTCCCTCGTGACTAACTTCTCTTCTTCAAAAAACCTCAATGTGCGACGAAGTTGTTTTGAATGCAACTTCAAAGCTTTAGCCAAATCTTCCTCTCTAACCCATTGGCGTCTAAAACAGATGAAGAACAAAGGTAGTAAGCAATCGGAATTTGTCAATCTAGCATATGATACAGTAAAATGAGGCTGTGTAGCAGTGGATGTGCTATGAAACCAGAAAGGATAATTATTTAACATAAGTCTCATCAAATTAGTTACTAGAATCATTTTCTTTCTGATAAGCACCATGGAGCTTTGCTTCGCAAGCTGAAACAATAAGCACTGGCTAAATATTTTCCCAGACTTTTACCTTGCGGAAATTGATTCGATTACTATTTGGACAGTTATGCAAATTTAAGTCAGGTTAATTTAACCTGATATGAGACCCCTGCTTAATTTCATCTAGTTTTCAACCTTTAATAATGAATAAATTCATTGCTATAAAGCAAAAAAAAGAAAAAAAAAATTGTTGTATGTCTTGATTCCTTTCCAATGGGCACAACTAATGGTTGAGATGGCAATGTTGATGAAGTCCCTACTCTAGCCAATTATGGTGAACAAGAAGAAGATATTGCAGTGGGCTGCTGTATTATGCATGGGCCAAGGAGACGAGGGATTTTGGAGGACAGAAGAAAAACTACCATAGCCAATTGAAAGAAAATTATTATAACTGGTTTTTTATTGATGTTAAAGCCTCGTTAAAAGTTATATTTATTGCCAGAAAACTACTTCATAAAGTAGTCAAAATAGTAACACTCAATTCAAATCTTTCCTAAAACTATGAAATACAATATAATACACATTTACTTTAGACAAGCTATTTGATAATACACGACCTTATCGAAACAGTTATAACCTTTATTGGCTATTAAGTAAAAATGCAAAAAAAAAATTCTATAAGATTATCATTTTGATTTGGGCGGCGAAGAGAAGATGGAGAGCCTTTATAGAGTAAATTATAGTCTCGTCAAGAATTTCTTGATTTCTTAATCCCTCATTAGGTGTCTCCTCTTTTTAAGAGATTTGGCTTGATTTTATACAATATTTTCTCCAAATTTGACATGATTTGTGGAGTTAATTTTAAAATTTCCCAAACTCCATCAATATCAATAATAAATCATACTTGTAAAACTTGAAGTATGGAGTTAGTTTAGACTTCTTAAAAACTTTAGTAAAAACAAATTTGACATACTCATTGAAATGGGTAAAATTTATACCTAAATTTCATATATTTTGGACACAGTTATCATGAATCTAGACCCCAGTTGAATAGGTCATCTTGCTTATTTTAAGACTGTCCTACTAGCCTCAATTTGATATAGCTAAATCTCAATTTTTCAGTTCCTTGCTTAATTGAGCCAATATTAGGCTGAATTTGAGTTTAAAAAACCTATTCATCGCAAATCTCCCCTTGAAGCTCATTTTCCCATGAAAATGACCATTAATCAGGAAGCAAATAAAATATACACATTAGCCTTTAAGAATATAGTCAACCCAAAGAATATTATTGACGACTTTATTATAGTGTAACCGACCCATGAATTATAGCTGAACCATTCATTTGATGTGTCCAAAAGCAAATAGTAATAAGTTTTGGAATTATTGCCAAATACTCGCCACAATAATGTTTTGTCAGCTTGCACTTCTGGAGATGAAAAACTCTAATTGAGCTTCCAATTTTGAATAAAGGGTGTGGAAGAATCATTTTCTTTTCCAAGCATCACTTGTCAATTTAAATTTTTGTTTCGTGTTATACTGCATTTTTAATTAATGTATTTTTTTATAATTTCACCTTAATGTATTAAAATTATACTAAACTTTCCACATTATAACTATCGTTTATTATTCCAGTTTGTAAAGGTAGACTGGTCTTTATTACAACTTTGCATGAATAATATAGTAATTTCATTTTATGGCAAAATCTTTTCTAGTAATACTTTCCATGCATGCATTGTTATGTTGTTTTTGATGGGATACAACCTAGAGTATTGTAACTTGAAAGAAGGAATGTTCGCTTAAAGTTTATTTTGAAACAATTTGAAGCAATGAGGTGCACTTCCTCTCTTCTTGTTACCAGCAATTAGTGGATGAAAGCTTACTGAACCAGCACAATAGTTGAGTGATGTACCACAGGGAGCACAACCAAATTTCATATTCTAGGGGCTCTTAGGGATCAATTTTGATTTTTAATTTTTTTAAAAGTTTTAAGTTAAAATAAAACATGTTTGTTAAGACATAATATATTTAGCTGTTTTTAAAGATACTCCAAATAACTTGTAAATGTTTTGAGTGTTTTTAAAAACAGGCTAATTTATTTTTAAAAATAAAAAATACAAAAATGCATTAAACAGCACAACATTAACAACAACAATAACAAGCCTTTATCCCACTAAATGAGGTTGGCTACATTAAATTTTTTTCTCCAGAGTGTTCAACTGAGTGTCATATTTCATATAATTATAATAAATTAAGATCATTTTTAATACAACATGGCCATGTCTTTTTAGGTCTAGCTCTATCTTTCTTAACATAAGTCGATTCTAAAACATCCACTTTTCTTACTGGATCATCAGATGGTCGATGTTTAATGTGCCCAAACCGTCTAAGACAAACTCTCTCTCATCATGCCTGCCACTAGAGCTACATTAACCCTTTCACGGATATATCATTTCGCATTTTGTTTCCAATTGTAAAGCCACTCATCCACCTAAGCATTCTCATCTCAACAAACCTAAACAAACATGTATTTAAAATAAAAGTAAAAACAAATAAAAGAAGCGATCCCAAAAAAGCCCTTAGTAATTCATAGTGTTTTTACAGGCTTTATAGTCAGAATATGCTTCTGTAGGCTTATGTAAACAAGTTTTATCATAAATGATGCAAAAAGCAGAATTCTCAGAAGTAGTTTAACCTGTGTATTGTTTATTTATCTGTGAGACATGGTTATTGGAGCATGAAGTTCTGTTTTCATATTTATGCCCTCGGTATCTATTGATGATTATTATGAAAAAACTAGTTACAATGACGAATTTGGAAAATTAATTAAATTTTGACTAGTGTAAATGATATGTTTTATAGGGAGATGTTATCAAAATTTTTATGAGATTTTGTTCTAGAAAAATAACAATCAATTAGGGACTAATAATAACTATTTAATCCTCCTAATTAATTAATATATACTTTAAAATAGTTATTATGATGAGTAGAAAAACATGTAGTTAGACCTGAAACCAACCAAATAATTTTCCCAGCTTACCTCTGTTTAGACTAGCTTATCTCAACAAAATAGCTTAACGACAGTTAAGGCTTGGGCATACAATTAGTTGTGTTGACTTAAGTCGACTACAAGCCCTCAATTTACCCATAATATCGAATCTTATTAGTGGAAGAAAAGTGTTTTAACATCAACCTGACCTTAAATCACTCCAACCCCACAAACACAATCATATTATGAATTTATAGGATATTGTGAAACTGTAATAATAATCTTTATTTTAAAAAAAATTCAAATAATTATAAAAAAAATGAAATCAATTGAATTTATGTGTTACGACAACTATGAAGCAGGTGTTGTTTCACAGGCATTGTTTGTTTGTTTCACCAATCGCCCGTGAGAAAATAAGTCAAGACTATCCTCTCATTTCCATCCCATTTGAACTCAACAGAAGTGTCGAGAGAGACAGAGAGAGCGAGAGAAAGCCAAACGAAGGTGTTAGAGAGACCGAGAGAGTGCGGCAAAAAAAGAAGCGGTGGAGGAAGAAGAAAAATAAATAGAAGGAGAAGACAAGCGGCTCACCTGGTGTGTCGTTTCCCCCCATAGCCCACGATCAAATGTGCTTGAAAAAGCTCAAGACAAGCGGCTCACCTGGTGTGTCGTTTCCTCCCATAGCCCACGATCAAATGTGCTTGAAAAAGCTCGAGTGGCTCCATCAAGTGCCGCGAGCAGCCAGTGAAAGGAGAGGTCGCACGCAACTGCTATAACCATACGAGCCTTTTTCAGTGATCAAGAGACCTTCGAGCGAGCATATGAAGGTTGAGTGGTTGGAGCGAAGCTTCCTCTCATGTCATTTCCTTGTACGAAGGAGAAGGAAGATTCAACTTCATTTTCCCTAATCGAGCAGAGGAAATGAGAGGAGGAAGCGAGCATCTCACGCGAGCCTTCTTTCACTCATTTTTGTTTCCTGTGCAAGGAAGCAAGAGAGCGATCGTGCAGAAAGCTCAATCAGAGCTTAAGGCTCAGTTTCAAAGGCTGAGGGCTCAACGGGAATGAATTAAGAGTTTAAAGGAACAATTTTTTTTAGTAATTAATATTAAACAATAGAAATTAAATTTCAATTGATACTAAAATTAAAAATGACTTAATTTTGTTAAACTTTATGCAGGAAATTCGACGAGGAAGTTAAGGCGGAGAAGAAGGAAGAAAAAAAATCATGTATGAAACTTAATGTTAATAATTAATTGTGATTTTTCCATATTAATTTATGACAAAATGAAATAACGAACCCTAAGTTTAAAGCTTATTTATAATTAAGTTACAATTAAATTTGAGCATGCCCAAATGAATATTTTAGAAGCTTTAACATAAAATTTATTTAATTATTGTCATTATATGTATTAGTATAATGAAGTGTTGTCAAAATCAATAAATTGCAATTTTCATAGAGATAAATGTAATTTGAATATTTCTATGAAATTGTCAATTAGGCCAAAATTTCAAATGATATATTTAAATAATAATAGTAAAATTAGAATTAAAATGAAATAAAAATTGAACTGCTCTTATGAGTGAGCGAGCCAAGAGAATAGATTTGCACCAAGGAAAATGACAATTTGACTATATCGTAAAAGTGGGAAATATGTTTTTATTTTACAATAGTTTTATCAATTTACACGTTTTCACTATTTGCTATCATCTCTTTTAAATCTAAAAAAAATCCATATTTTATCTTTTAAATGTTAAATGAATGAAAAGAAATAAAATATAAAAGATGCAAGCATATGGGAGTCATTCCATAGATAGTGTTGGCAAGAGAATGCAATGTAACCGTCCACGAAAATGAAAATGAAAATGGT